ATAGCATGGGGGTTACTTGCTTCTGGAATGAAAACAAGATCTATGCCATCCAGTTGAATCCTTCTCTTACAACAAGAGCAAAATATAGAACTAAAAACCTTTTAATGACTGTTATTGATGGTTTTTACTTAATTGGCATTTAACAGCTTCAGTCCCTTATTTCCATCTATCACCTCACTGTCCATACTTGAACGCCCCATAGGCAACTCCAACTGCAAACACCTAAAGCTAACTTCCCCTTTGCCTCATCCAGCTCTGTCCATGTTCCCACTGTTCACTGAGCTGTATCCCAAGGAATTCTTGTGATTCTTCAACTGGGTCAGGAAATAAGCCCACTTCCAGCTTTTGTTCTGGAATTCTTCCCTGTCTCGGGCCTGTCCTCCCGCACCCACCCCCTTTCTCTGATTCCCAGTAATTTATCTTTCTTCTTCATGTCTCAGCCTTGCTATTCCTTACTTGATAAGTCTCCTTAACCATTCATCTCTCCATTATTCCCTTTCCAGACATAGCCTTGGAAATCTAGACAGTTGTGTATGTGGAATGTTTAGTGTCTGCCCCACCTGTAGGCTCTAAGCGGGGGATGGCATGGGCTTTGTCTATTTTGACCCATCACCTAAGCCAAGCCAGTGCCTGCACATAGTAGGTTGTTCTGATTGACCTCTATACCCATCCAGGTGTTAGTTCTGTTTCCATCAAGTTAGAAATTGGACCACACTGGGATACCTCTGAATTTCAGCCTCTCTCTTTTGTTTTACTCCCCACTCCAATATCCATGAACTTGTTCTGTGCGCGACCCAATTACCATAGAGACATTTCATTTCCTCTTTGATTTCCCTTCAATAACAGATTGTGACTTGTAATTCATTTAGCATACATTGAAACCTGAATATCTACTGATTATGTTGCCAAGCACCAGGCTTATTACAATAAAGACAGAGAAAAGATGTCATCTCTCGAAGAGAGCCTCGAAAATGACTGTTTCTGGCAGAAAATTTGTTTTGTCTCATAGACTTGAGCTTCACAGTCATTCATGAATGAATACTAAACCTAAGGAAGATCAATGCAGCATTCTCTTAACCCTCTCAATGGATTTAATGGAGAATTGAGTAACAGAAAAGTTACAAGGGAGAGATGCTGAGAGATTTGAAAAAGAAAGAGAAGGTTGCTATAGCATATGCCTCTTGAAGGAATGAAATTGGGTGATTCATCTAGTTTATAGTAAGTAGTTTCTCAGGCTTCAATCTTGAGTCACCTGAGTCACTTTTTCTTAGCTGTTTAATTCCCATGTTTATTCCTTTTATTATTTTCCAGCAGTAAAATAAAATAACATTCAAAAGCTGAATTTTTTTAAGGAGAAAGGTAGAAAAATATCTTGGTGGTGCCGTGACATACAATTTTAATCAAATCCCATAAGTTTTTTTTTTTTCCTGGAGGAATTATTTTACAATGTTTAACAATCTCATCTGCTTTCTTAGTGAATGACCTATTGTCCTCTATAAAGTTTTTAATGATGTAGAATAACTGCAAATTAAATAGTATAATCAAAATCAGGCATTAAACAAAAAGCAGTACAGGCGGTGGCTGGTGTTAAGTACCACAGTGTTGAGTGTGTAGGGCCTCACATCGTGTGACTAGATCAGGAAAGTGGAAAATCAGAAAGGCTTTGCTCGGTGACTGGTGGGGCAGTGGGTCTCTGAGCATCACATGGACCTGACACAGGAATTCAGCCCTGGCTCCAGGCTGCAGAGCCAGCTCCTATTAGAGATGTCACCAATGTCAGTCCTGCAGGGTTGTTCTGGGCAGGCACTGTGCCATCCCCTGGGGGTGCATCATTTGGAGGCCCCTCCCATGGTGGTTGAGCTGCAGAGATTCTTGGGGTTTGTTCATTTGTTTTGCTTCTGTATTTTAAATCATTTTCTCTACGACTTCACATCACATGCACTGTTTCCTACCATAAAAGTCAGGAGGAAAAATATTTGGAGACAGCAAAAAGTCAAGAGACTCTGCCAGTCCTGGTCTATTTCCATGGCTAGGGGGAGACTCAGATGTCTTGCTGAAGGCTTTTACTGAACTTTAGTTGAACCTCTTGTGATTTCTGTTATTGCAGGAATAGTCTACCTCCTACACCTCCTGCTGAGATGATAGTAAGAGCCCTACACTAACCATACATCCCACCTTCCTTCAGAGGTGTTCTCTATGCTACTGGTGTATTCAGCCAAACAGAATCAAAACTAGAGTTAAAGTTCTTTTCCAGTATCGTTGCCAAAAACAAAGCCGTCTTGCTGAATGAGAGGAGAGCATTCTCAGGGACAAGCCTATGAACCTGTCACCCACTGGGTGTGGTCAGTGAGCAGCTCCTGGTCTGGCTGTCCTCTGAGCTGCCTGCTCAGGCTTCCCCTCCCTTTCCTTCTGCCCCAGGTCTTCATCATGATCTGCAGACTGCACCTTTCTCTCCTGGCCTCATTCTGTGGCACTAGAGCCTTAATTCACAGGACTTAGGGAGCAAGAACAGGAAATAGGAGCACCTCTGTTGTCCACAATAGCCTGGACATTGCTGACTGGCTCCTTCTACATGCCATCCAGAGAGGGGAAGGGCGGTTTGGAGGCTGATGTAGGTAGAGGGCCACACTCAAGGTCCATAATGAATGAATAGTGAAACCTGTTCCAGGCGTAATACCATCCAGCCCCAGACCACACATTTTGACATAGAACAGCAGAGACACTCCACTCACTTCTGCAGGTTCCCCAGTCGAGAATCACTGCCAGAGGCTGGGTAGCACTTGCTGTAGCATTCAGCCCAGTACCATCAATCTGTCATCTCTCCTGACCACATCCCTCCTTGTCTTTAAAATGCTACTCAGTTGTCCATGGGAAGGTTCCTTAGTGGCTCCATTTATTTAACCTTTACTCAGCTGGCATTTACTGAGCATCTGCTAACAGTTCCAGACATTGTTTAGAGAGCGACTGGTCCCGCTCAACTATAAGTCACAACTCGTGTCTACCCTACCCTACCCAGCTCCACCTTAATCTTTCCATTTTCATATTATCTCAAATCATCTCTGGCTTTCTCCACTGATTTTCTGCTAGGAATTGAGCTTTTCTAGGACAGTGACTCCTCCAGTTTTTATTTTTATCTTCCTGTAGTCCAGGACAATGATCTGCACATAGTAGGAATTCAGTAAATGCTGGACCAGGCAACCAACCCAAGGACATGAAACTATCGCCAACTATTTTGTTTCTGCAAAAGGGATAACGGATTCAGTTGCATCATTTTCTCATGTGAAGATCCTGTCTGCAAGTTGTGATTAAAGCCTACCGTGGATATTTAAATATTTTCATAATGTATTACATCAAAAACATGCTTCCATTCCTCCCCTTCAAAATCCTCCCCCTCACTTTGAACACACTTATGGCATCATTCATGCCACTTCTGAAGCAGTTCTGGAAGACCTCCTTCATCAGTGTCATTAGTTGTGCTGTCATGGCTGCTTCAGTGTCATAAATCAATTCAAAACATTTTCCTTTCATGGTCATTTTGATTTGGGGGAAGAACCAGAGATCACACAGTACTGAATCTAGTGAACAAGGCACATAAGGACACATAGTAATATTTTTATTTGACAGAAATTGTATAAACATCTTGAATTGATGTAGGACTTTGCGATAGCCACAGAAAGGCATTTACAAAAGAAGACTTCCAGAATTGCTGCAGGAAGTGGCAAAATAGTGAGACAGGTGCGTCTAAAGTGAGGAAATAGTTTGAGAGAGATTAATGGCAATGCGTCTTTTACTGTAATAAAATTTATTTTTAATATAAACATTTACCATATTTTTGGATCACATATGTATCTTCTCTGCCGTATAAGTGTGATGAGGGAACAACCTACAGAGCATTTGGGGATTTCAGGTGAACAATAAGCTGGACATGTGTTACATGCAAGATGCAGTGGACCCCTTATTTCTTGGAGCACCCTGAGGGGGCCTTAGTCTTCAGGCCATGCTCTGACCACCTCCCAGTAACAGCTTCTGAGACAGAATACAGCGTGTCCCCTGCCTTCCTCACCTTCAGAGCGCTGAGATATAGGAGGCAAACGAATGAAAAGTACACTGACAGAAGAAAGGGAATGAATGCAAACCTGGGAGAATATGATGGAGAAGTGGGAAGCATTCTCATTTTCTTTCTTCTTTTAGTTTTTTGTTGTTATAGACAATTTTAACACACATACAACTCGTCACTATAATAGGTGGAAAAATTAAAACAATACTTTTTATTCCTTTCACATACAAAATTGGTCAGAATAATATAATAACCCTCCAATGAGCTCATCACCTAAATTCAACTGGCTTCAACCCGCAGCCATCTTGTTTCACAAATATGCCTGCCCTGTCTTCCTCCTCCCACTGTATTGTTTTACAGCAAATCCCAATGTCGTATAATATTATCTGTAAATATTTCAGAATGAATCTCTAAAATGCTCTTTTAAAAATTGTCAAAATATCATTACTATGCCTCAAAAAAACCAATAATCTCATTGTATCACTAGATTTCCTGTCTGTTTTCCATTTTTCAGCTGTGGAGATGTTTTCAGTAAATCTGAAAAACGTGTCACACATTGCGTTTTCATTGGGAAGGAAAAGACAAAGGAACCAAAACTAATTTTTCTTACAGGAAGGAGAAAACAACAACAGGGAGATAATTTCAGGGGATAAGGACAAAACTGCCTGTTTTTTGAGACCCAGCCAACCTCAACCAGGTGGACTTTTTGGCACCTCCCAAGCTCGCCCTCTGGTGGCAGATGGGCATTGCCATGACGCCATGGTGTCCCTGAACTCTCCAGGATTGTTGGTTTCAAAACATGATGGGGCTTTCTACAGTGTTGCGGGTAGTTTAAAAGTTGGCCACATGACAAAAGTGTGTAACATGAGGTTTTTAAAGTATTGATTGAACACATAATTTAAAAGCTAGAATATTAAATAAACATCTCTGCCCTTTCTTGCAGCAGGCCGCCCAGAGAACAGCTCTCCGAACACTATCTGACAGGTACATTTTGTCATTTTTATGAACTATAAATTGCTTTATGAAACATTGAGTCCTATTTATTGTGGCATATAATTCATAATCGGATTTTGTCCCTAAAGTATCTGTGAACTGGGATGTTAAACATTTCGCATGCTTGGATTTGTCATGCATGTGTGGAGTTTATTACTGCAAAACTCGCCTTGTTGTATTTCACATAAAGTATGAAGAATCCCTCATTGGGCAATGAAACAAGAGACAAGAAAGTTAGGGGGAAAGGCCTGAATGGTGCAGTAAATTTTGAACTTTGGAATTGGTTGAAATCTAAGCTCATTTTTCAGCAATAAGTAGTTCATTTATTTTGAGGTGCTTTCTTCACCCTTTCCCTATGATTTCACCAGTGGCAATCTGTCTTTTGATGGGATTTTCTCTTTAAAGACTTTTTTCATGTGGCTCAGCAACTCATGGTCCTGACTTCTTACTCCCTGCTTCTTTAGCCTGTTTTTCCTAACCTGTGTTGTTGAACGAGACATGAAAACCTGACCAAAGCCATAAACTGTAATTCGTACCCCATTTTGCCTCAAAAGCTGCAGAAAGAGTGTCAGACAGGAATGTATAAAGTTGCTTTCTAGAGTAGACCCGACCCCCCTTTGGGGGTTGGTTGAGCTTTTGTTTCCAACTAAGATAAGGGTGCCTGTGCATGTGTGTGTGTGTGTGTGTGTGTGTGTGTGTGTGTGTGTGTGTGTGTGTTGAAGATCTATCAGGAGGCAAAGATGAAGCCCCTACATATCACCCCAAAGGAAGTGCTGACAGTGTTAGGTGATGACCCTCTCTGCTAGAAGCAGGGACCCCAACATTAGCCAGCCTTCAACCCTTTCCTTCCTTCCTGGTTCCTTTCTTTTGTAGAATGAACAGCCCCTGACTGTGTAAACAAGTTCAGTTCGGTGTTTTTCCAGTGTAAAACCTGTCACTGAGGCGAATTAACTGATGTGCATGGGTGAAAAGCATTTCCTATACAGTGGCATGTTTATTTCTACTGAAAAGCCTTCCCATGACAACCACACAAGTCTACACGTTCTGAGAGTGGTGGGCACGTGATCCGGAATTGCTTCTGGGATTTTCACAAAAGCTGATAACTGTTCTGCATCTGAGTCTGTTGGTAGAAGTAAGAGAGGCTCTGGATCAAAACTCATTTAAAATGTGACACAATAATTCTTTTCCTAGACATATTTCTTTTTTCCTTTTGACTTCTCCTTTCAAGTAAAATGATTCCTTCAAGAAAATGCATTGAGAAGCCAGAGAAGGCTGTCTGTTTGTATCACTTTGTCATTGCTAACAAATGCAAGGTTTCTTATAAAGAGTATTGAAAAATGAAAATATTATAAATAAGATTATGGTGAGGTTTTCACAATCCCATTAATATACTAAAAACCACTAAATTGTACCTTTTAATGACATGAACTTCATAGTATATAAATTATATTTTAATAAAGTTTCATATATTTGCTCACAATGTCATGATGACTTTTGATACAGTGAACTAAAACCTGTTTTAGGAAAATATGGACTCCCTTTAAAGACATGGTAACACATTCAAAAATATTTCATCAGAAACTAGGACTGATGTGTTCAAAGGCTTCTTCCAAAGTGACATGTGACTTAGTCCTGGGTAGAAAATGTGTATGATTTTGATAATAAGCAACTCTGTTCCCTTCACTCTTTTTTTGTTTTGTTTTTTTGTTTTGTGGGTTTGTTTTTTGTTGTTTTGTTTTGTGGGGTTTTTTGTTTTGTTTTGTTTTGTTTTTGAGACAAGTTCTCTCTATGTAGTTCAGGCTGACCTTGAAATTACTATTGTGTCCCAGGCCAGCCTCAAACTTGTGACAGTCCTCTTGCCTCAGCCTCCCGAGTTCTGGGACCACAGGCATGTACTACCATGCCTGCCTCCTTTGATTCTTTCCTGATTTTCTCACTAGAATCCTTTGTTAAACCCATTCCCTGTCCTGAAGCAGAATTTATTATTGATAGAACATTTCTTATAAATTTCTTTATTCTTGAATATAAATAGGCCATGGCCTCTTCTTCCATCCAATAATTTTTCTGCTCAAAACAGGGGAATTTGGCTCATTTCATATGAATGATTTTGTCCACCTTCCCTGTGCTTTTTCTCCTCCATTTCCTACAAATATAGGACCATGGCAGTAATTTCCATAAGAGTTAGCATTTTTAATCATTTGGAAATGCAATTCAAGCACCTTCTTCAAAATAAGGACTTTAAAGCACCTACTAGATTCATCAGATTCGTATGTTTTAGTTCTTTCAAATAAACCATATTTTCTAGAACAATGAGTCATATGGCTGTGGTGAGACCACTGAATGACTTGCCTAGTGTTCTGTCTGTCACAGAAACCCCAAGGTAGGGTGGAATCCGGTAAAGCTCTCCTTGGGCCTTGGCCTTCCTAAGGAGGGCTCTAGCCCTTGTATTGATCTTTTGTACATTTGTTCATACAAACTATTCTGGTTCCAGAAACCATTGTTAGTTCAGGCCATTATCACCTATTTCTATACAATTCAATAATGATTAAGGAATGCTTTCATTTTTGTCACAGGGGGGAAAAGCATTTTCAGACCTCAAAATGTGCTTCGTGAGTTGTGATTATGAAACTGAGCAGGAATGACCTCCATCTAGTGGGGCCATGCTGGGGGCTCTGCACCCCTTCCGAGCCTCACTGTCCTGCGCTTTTGCTCCCCATTTCACAGGCCATTTCACTTCCATTTCTCTGGCATACCCATGAATGAATACAAGGGTCCTTACACAAGGGAGAGCCTCTGTGATTCCAGTGTGCAACTTGAAGGCAGTAGGGCTATTGGAGTTGGAAGTGAAAGTTGTGCTGGCCGTGTTGGGGTTGGAAGTGAGCATCCCTGCAGGAAGCCAGTTGCTCACAGTTTTGCTATAAGGAAACCTGCCTTTGAGCCCAGAGACCTGGCCCAGGGAAGTGGCCAGCAGGGAAACGAAAGGAATGTGTTTCTGTACCCTTCTGAGCACAGGGAGGGTTCATCCCTCAGGTGCTGGAGGACGGACAGTGTCCAAAGGTCTCTGGAGGTCATTCTTGTCTATCAGTCTTTTCATTTCTCCAAAGTTTCCTGGTTGGTTTTCTACATAAGCATTTTAGCACAAATCCAATACCTGGTACTTCAGATTGTATTTTTTAACTAAATTTACCTTTACCTTACACATAAAAGCATAAAATTATACATATTTATAGGACACTATCTGATTTCTTGATATGTCCAAAGAGTGTGTGATATGTAAATCAAATTAAACATATCTCTCTCCTTGTTTATCATTTCTTTATGTTAAAAACATTCAGAGTCCTTTCTTTGGGCTTTTAAAGTATATTGTAGTCACCCTAACATGCAGTAACACACTCCTACCTAACTGTACCTATTAATCAGACTCTGCTTTAAAGTTCAAAAAGCCTTGCTATCAATACACTATCTTGAAAAATTAAAATAATGATATTTCCTCTACCTAATTTTGAAAACCATCTATGATCACTACCAAAGAAAACCATTTGCCCTATTTGGTTCAGTGAGAAAAGGCAAAGCACACTGCAGGTTGAAAACGCATCAGAGCAGTGAGGCATAGGGGGAATTTGAGCTTGTTCTGGCTGGACGCTATTTTCATCTGTCTGTCTGGTTATCACTGAGTCCACTGGCCCAGCAGAGGTGCACTGATAGCCCCAAATAGTGAAAGCAACAGATGACCAGGGCAGAGAGAGGTTACAAAATTCTTGATGAGATAGACAAGCTAATGACAAGAGGTCTCAGTTCGCAAGGGGACATCATCCTTCTTACTTATTCACTCCTTCTAATGTGCACTTCACGTGGTTCCCCTTTTTATGGGTCATTGCATTCACTGTGGGTATGGAAAAGGGTGAGAAAGAACAGGGATAAAAGGCTGTGAGGCTCATTTATAAAGGTGTGTCTTTGGATTCTGCTCTGGAAAAGCTGCGGTCTCACCAGTAATGTGGAACAAACATATGCAGAGTGCCGTTAGGAAGAAAGGGTGGATAATGCATGCAGCATTCAAGGTGCCTGGAATACGATTAACTTCCCTTCCTAAGTAGTAAATAGTAGATAACTCTGATCAGAAAAGGGATTCGTGTGATTTATCAAGCTGAGTGACTGCATTTGCAGAGAAACTGGAGGTCAATCTTGAAATCTAGGGCCAGAGGAGCAAGAGGAAATTGCTGGGACTGAGAAGTTAATCATACTCTGGGACTGCTTCCATCTGTCTCAGGGCGACAGAGCTGCTGCACAGCAAGCAGGCATGCTTTATAGCAGCAGATCAGGAATTAATATTTTCTGCAAAACCTCAAGCATCATTTGCAGTAACTTGGGTTTTATAAAAATGGAGCATAATTTCATATGAATAAATCACATTCAGCTAGAAATATGCGACACTGGAAAAAATTGTGCTCAACTTAAAAAAAAAAGAACGAGCAAGAAAGACAACATGAACACAGTTGTTAAGTGATGGCACTTGGAGGGCACGAATGGCCATGTGGTTAAATTGTGCACATAATCATCTTCTGAAATGTCAGCTTGCAACCCCAGTGATGGCTGCATTTTTATAGCCTTGGTGAGGCAACAGCAGACTATAACCTGTCTGACCATCTGGCAATATCTCAGATCCAAGATCCATTTATACTGAAGCCCAAACAACTGCCATTGATTTATTCATTTATTCCACAGATATTTACTGAGCACATCCAACATGTTCTGTGGGGTGCTATGTGAGGGCTGGGTGTGCCTTGGAGAAGGGCCTGTCCTTCTGGCTTCCTTGGCCCAAGGGATGTTGGCTTTGCAAGGAGAGTGTCCTCTATAGGTTCATATATTTCTGCTTTCTGTTTTTCCCTTTTTATAAATAAATCTTATGCTCCAAATCTTGTTTCTAATTAGAAAGAATATAGTGAAATAAGTAAATGAGACATTTTTAAAAATTAAGGGATTTTCACCTCCAC